TGGTCGAACAACAGTATGGACAAGGCACCTAGACTCTTCTCCCGGTTTGCATTCGACTGGGTTCTAACGCGCATCTGATGGTCATATTGACAACAGTTACAGACTCCCGAGTACCCACACACTTGGGACTTCTTCGGTTGTCTGCTCCCTTCACTTAAGTCTTCTCCTTTCGAGATGGCCTGCAAATGGTCCTCACTCGAGGACACTAAGTTTTATAGAGAGAGAACTGCTATAAACAGAATTTACCTCGATAATATCACCTCGAGTTTTCCACTTGTCTAGCCAGAACCTAACTCTATACCACTAGAGTTCAAGTTCATACAACTAAGCTCGCAACTCATCTAGAGTTAAATGTTAGAAGCAGAAGGATAAATTCCTAACCCCCGATTTACATCACATCATATCATATATCGCATAAGAAATTCAATATCACTTCTGAACTCATACCTGAGTTGGCGCGGCTCGACGGAAGCGAGTGGTCATAACATCGTAAAATTCAAATATTTCTCAGAGTTCACATAATTCATGATTAGCAGTCTACAGAAATGTAGACCTGCTCTGATACCACACTGTAACGCCCCACTTTGATTTTAAAAAAATTCCACACTTTCAGAAAAATCAGATTTAATTTTTCAAAATTTATATCAAACATTTGTGGCGTTACTCATTTATTTCAAATCATTTCCATGACATAATATGAACTCATAAATTATCAAACATCAAACTCCCAAAGCGGGATCTCATAAATTCATCAATTACCCAAACCGGGTTTCCATAAAATCATTACTGTCAAAGGGGCATCTCCCCAACCTTATTTCAATCATCATAATATCCATAAATTCATAAAATTTCAAATCATAAATTCAATAATATCCCAAGTTCATAAAATTCATAAATCATAAAGTTGTTCATATAGCGGAAGCATAACAATCGATAATCGGGTCATACAGACCGACCACCACTCGCTCCACTCCGCCGTCGTGCCAGCCTTGCTTAACCTGAAACGTTAATTTCAGGTGGGAGTGAGCACAAATGGATATCGTAGTGCTCACCACTATGTAGTAAAAATTATCCATAATATAACAGTAATCATAAAATAAGTCAGGTATGGTTGCAGCATGTATACGAAACAATTATCTATCTCATCTCCCATCAATAATATCAATAATCAAGACTCATGTGCACACCTACACATAGATGATGATGGTGATGATTTGATCGATATTGGATGAAAGGAAATCTGATGATAAGGGCTTGAAATAGGTTCTGGTTTTCCTTGCGCGTATGGAGACAGTGGTTTTTGAGATTCTTCCCTCATTTTCTCGCCGTCGGGCTGGTGGTTGAAAGTGGAAAAAGAGAGAACGATTGTTTTGGGAGGACGAGGGACTGAAATTTGCGAGGGAGGGGGAGAATGATTTAGTGCGATTTTGCTGCTAATAGAGAGGTAGAAGGGAGTGGTTGCGAGAGAGAAGGAATTTTGAGATCGGATCTGGCTCCCTCTTTCCATGTGACGTAAGACCAAAATTTTAAGGGAAAAATCAAGGTAATTAATGTGATATAATTTGCCCCAAATAATTGACATCAATTGACACAAAAAGGGGTTTGACCGGTCATAAATGGGAGAAAAATGGCTGGTTTTTCTTGCCCATAAAGCACATAAATTGAGTTTGAAAATCAAACACAAGCTTGGAGACAAATTCCCAAAAGTCATGGGCTGAATACGTGGGACACTTGGGCCGAGATTTAATTAACTTCCAAATGGGCCGAAAATAAGATATAAGATTGAGTCGGGTCCAAGGTTTGGGAAAATATCAAGAACGGTTCGAAAATAAGACTACACGATTGGACCGAAATTCGCCGAACAATTAATCTAACAACTAAAATAATCCTAATATTACATACACATAATTAATAATGATTTAAATCACATAATATCCACATAATTAAAGTCACATAACAATTCCACGATAAGCAAATAAATAAGACAAGCACAGACGAGCAGTTTATAAACGAGCAATTAATAGAAACAAGGATGATAATCAAATATAAAACAAATAAATAATAATATAATATTCGGATAATTCTAATAAAGGAACGGGGCGCTAAATTTAAATAATTTTTTTTCTAGTTTTCTTAAATGCAGAAGACCAATTAAAAAGGGTTACAACAATAATATTTTTTTTAAAGGACTACCTCTCAAAAAGATACGGCCGAACTCCAACAATGTAGAGGATAAATGGTTTAAGTTACAAGCATTATTTAATTCAAGGAAATAACCCAAGCTAAAAGGATCATGCTCGGTCTTAGGAAAATGGGTCGCACAAATAACGTTCGAACAATAAACCAATTGACCAAAAAAATAATAAAGTTGCAAATAATTTAAGTAGACGAGGACATCTACGAAAATTATTTAACTTATTATATTAAATAGACGAGGATATCTAAATAATCATAATAAGCTTATTCGAGAATTTTGTCGAGCAATTAAAATAATTAAATGGAATGCAAATAAAAAAATAAAAATACGACGACTCTTATAAACTACAGAAGAAAAATAAAATGTAGGCTGGAAAATATGAAGCGACGACATAGAAGATTTCTGACAAAAACTCCACATCTAGCGTGTCTAATTTTATGTGATTATGCAAAAAAATACGCAGAATTGTTAATTATCCGGAGTTATAGACTTGGATATGTGAGTCGTAAACTATACCTAAACATTTCGCATAATTGTAAATTATGCAGCGTTCGATTTAGATATGCGATAACTAAAGTTGCACACATTTTTCAAATATTGTAAATTATGCGACTGATTTGGATATTCGATTGAAAAATAGTTTACTTATATTGATTTTTTTTTTTCATTTTGTTATGACCTGCATATTGTTCGCAGTTCCGTGATATCGTTTACTTTTATTTATTTTTTTCATTATGTTTTGCAAAAACTATGCATTATATTGCACTTGTTTTCCTAGTTCTGCAAGTTCCTTTCAATTGAACTTTTTCGCTTCGGACATTGTCTGATTTTTCATTACTTTGAAAAAAATTGTGTCAACATATACTCGATCATTATCGCCATTGTTAGTGTCATCAGCTTCTATGTCTTCCCACCATATTGGGTCATCAACTGAAGAACCAGGCCTGCCCTCCAAGTTGATCGTCGTTGCGTTGGCGCTCAGTAAAAACTTTATAACACTCACGACATAAAGGGAATTTGTAAAAATAGAAAAATGCCTAAGCATCGTTCTCTTGTGTATTAAATTTGATTTTTTCTTTTTGTTATGACTGCGTCGCAAAAATGCATGAACAAACTAAAATTAAAAACCAATTTACCTCATCGCCCACATACAACCAGTACATGTGGTTAACACTAGCAAGGTCAGCAGCACCACACACTAGGATGCCTGGAATCATAAAAAATAAAATAAAATTTGCAATTCATCGAAATAATCTCGCTGAATAATTCCACGTACTTGAGGAATCGAATACTCTGTTCGCTCCACGCCCCGGATTATGAGTAACGATAGTGATGGTATATATATGTCAACTCAAGTAAATAGGTATATGCAAATTGCAAAAGTTTTTTTACGTGAAAATCCAGACAACTAAAGCGGTGCGTAAATTATGCGAATAACGAAATAATTTTTTTTGGATATGCTACTTATGATATGGATCAACGAAAAAAAAGGCGGATAGTCCTAAAATATGCGGCTTTCGATTTGGAGGTATGATTCTTGAATATGCAAACATATTACACATAATCATTAATTATGCGGTGTTATAGACTTTGATATGCGAGTCGTAAACTATGCGAACCTTTGTCACATAATCCTAAAATATGCGATGTTCGATTTGGATATGCGATTATTAAATATGCGAACGGTTCTCGCATATGGTAAATTATGCGGCGTTGCTGATTTGATATGTGAGTCGTGAACTATGCGAAAATATGTCGAATAACATAAATATGCGACGTTCGATTTGAAAATGTGATAACAAAATATGAAAAAAGTTCTCGCATATGATAAACTATGTAGTGGATTTGTATATGCGAGTCGTAAACTATTATACGATTCTCGAATATGCGAAATGTTGTTGCATATGGTAAATTATACAGCGTTATATATGAGTCGTAAACTATGCGAAAATATTCTGTATAACACAAAATATGCGAGTTCGATTTAGATATACGATAACATAATATGCGAAAAGTTCTCGCATATAGTAAATTAAGCGGTGAATTTAGATATGCAAATCGTAAACTATGCGAAAATATGTCGCAAAATCATAAAATATGCTTGGATTTGGATATGCGATAACATAAATGCGAAACGTTATCGTATATGGTAAACTATGAGGTGGATTTGGATATGCGAGTCGTAAACTATGCGAAAACATGTCGCATAACTTAAAATATGTGTCGTTCGATTTGGACATGCGATAACAGAATATGCGAAAAGTCTCTTATATGGTAAGTTATGCAGGTGGATTTGGATATGCGAGTCATAAACTATGAGAAAACATGTCATATAATCGTAAAATATGTGACTATCAATTTTGAATATCTGGCAACTATATATGCAAAATAATTTCATATATCGTAAATTATGTGATGGATTTGGCTATACGATTACAACAAATGTGGAAGTATTTCACATAATAGTTAACTACCCGTCCGATTTGGATATACGTTGGTATATATGCTACAATATCTCGCGTAATTGTTAATTATGCAGTTCATTAGGATATGAGATTTTTATATCGCATATGAATTCGTGAGTTTCAGGGTGAAAAGGATATTTTTTGATGGGACATTGTGCAAAAGAAAGACCATATATATTGGGGTGTAAAAGAAATTGTCCCTATCAATTATATAGCAGTTTCCTCATCTTTATACATTCTATACGCATCAAATCCTTGTTTAGGGAAAAGCGTTACAACTTGGTTACGATCAAGCATAAACTTGGTTATGAATCAAAGCATAAATAGTAGTAAGATACATGCCGTAAATTTCTTTGGGGTTTTCATTTAAGTTCCCAGGGCATAATTGAGTGATGCTAAACAACAGCATAAGTGGGCTCGCAACCTCAGCGTGGAAAGTTTGATTTCTGGAAGCTACATTTTTCAGTGAGGAAAAAGTATTCTTAGGGCTATGAGTATAAGTAGTGTTGGGATTTGGGGCTTATTCGCGCACATCCCGCGATTTACCACTCTTAGTCACTCAGGAGTCGGGGCTCAAGGTCTAGAGCTAGTCTAGCATAGGGTTGTAAACGAACTAAATCAAAATGAATACTCAACTATTCGATTGAAATTTGTGAATATATTTGACTATTCGTATTTGTATTCGGTTCATTATCAAATTTAGTTTGTGATTCATATCCGATTTTCGATAACGATAATTGAATATATTTGATTCAAAATCGTTGTTTTATAAATATATAAATATATTTATATATTTTTTTAAATATAATATACCTTTAAAGTAAATAATATATAACTTTTTAAATATAAATATATATATTTATTTATTTATATATATTTATTATGTAAATAGTATCTTATATAATATATAATATAATTTATAATATATTAAATTATATATAATAATGATTAATGAATCGATTATTCGATACATTCAAATCGAATATGTGCATATTCAGATTTAGATTCGAATAAATTTCGGATATTAAACACAAATCCTATTTCAATTAGGTTTTTTACAGGGCCGTCTCCAGAAATTTGGAGGCCCTAGACAAGTTTGTCCTTTTCGAATTTTCCAATTTGAGCTTGCGTGGTAATTAGGCTATTTGCAGATAGAATCATAGAAGAAAAAACCTAATTAAACAAGACTATTAAATAAATAAATAATTAATTGAAAAAAAATAATTTTTCTTATTTTTCTAGACCTTGGAATTGATAAATTACCAATAGAACACAAAGATTTTTAATAATTTACATTCAATCAGTCATGAGAACAACAAGTAGAAAAAAATAAAAACCATATCACTGCAAAGAATATTTATTCTCACACAATTGTTCTAACCGAACATCATAAGAAAACAAATGAAAAATTTATGGCCTCAAATTGCTACACATAGTACATATTTTGCCATTAACCCATTCATTAATTAGCCCCTTCATTTATATAATAAATCAAGTCTATATTTAGTCATGAGTCACTTCATATGTGCAAATAGGTCAAACTCATCACAAATACATAATACTAAAAAAAAAAAAAGAGAAATTTACTCTCCTTATCACTCCATGTGAAATGTTTTTTAAAATTACGAGGTGGAAATTTATTTTGTGAGAATACGGATATTAATTAGTTTCTAAGAACTGATACATTTAGTGCCCTGCATTTTATAATTGTGGGCAAAACTTCTCGATGATCTTGTAAATCTCAATTTACTATAGTCATTAGTTGCAATTGATTATGTAATTCTCAATATCACCATTATTGGGTTTCTTCAACCAAAACGAAACAGAGCAAACAACAAAAAGCCATAACATTCTTTTTTTTTTTCACAAACGAAACAGAGCAAACAGCAAAAAAACCATAACATTCCTTTCATTCTTCAAAATTTCATCAAGGGTGAAGAGAACGCCACCAACGATTAATCTGAACGGTTTGTGCGAGCCGCCGCTTATTCGGTGTGGGGAATCAAGAGGGAACGCGACGAAGTACCTATCGAGGTCGGAAGTCGCCAGGATCGTGGTGCCGATCATCTTCACGTCAAACTTCTCGATGCTCAGAATTCATTGGAGGAACGTGGCAGTTTCTTGCTCTGGAAATGGCGCCGTGAAGAAAAACGGAGAAGATGGGGAATGGGTATATGAAGAAGGGATTGTGAAGAGTAATGGAGGTTACTTAGCCTCATCGGTGCACGACCGGAGTTTTTCTTTCAACACGCACCAAAATTCCAGTCTTGAACACGCATAAGAGTTTTGATCAGGAGATTGTTTATTTAAAGTTTATATGGGGTATATAAAACATGAAGGAGTGTAGTAAATATATACACAAGTTATACGTTAGTTATCCATAATCTATATTGTGTTTTTTTATTTGGAGTGTACAAAGTTGTTGGTTGAACTTTGTAAACTTCATGTAAAGTAGACATGTTGGAATTGATAAATTCTAAGTTCAATTCGGTGTCATGTAAAGTAGACATATGTTGTTTATCTTATGTATAACTACATTCGATTTAGATTTTGCAGTCATTCAGAATTGTATAGTATGTTTTATCTCGTTTCAGTGTTGTTTATATGTTGTTTATCTTATGTATAACTATAAGGTTAAATTACATGTTGTTTATATGTTGTTTATCTTATGTATAACTATATTCGATTTGAATTTTGCAGTCATTCAGAATTGTATATTATGTTTTATCTCGTTTCAGTGTTGTTTATATGTTGTTTATCTTATGTATAACTATACGGTTAAATTACATGTTGTTTATATGTTGTTTATCTTACGTATATATACCGTGTATCTGAACATATTTTCACGATCAATTTCACTAACTCAATTTTCTTAGATTACACGGACGCTATAATTATACTAAATATATTCATAAATTAAACAACTCAGTTAGATCGATGATTTTTTTCCACAATAAACGAGATTAAAAAGTTATGAACATATGAGATTTCACGAACACTAATTTTTTTCTAGCTCGTTTGATTTTTTTTTTTCTTCAAGACAAGGAGTCCTCTCCACGACCAATGGCCTCACCATGAGTTAAGCCAACTCAGACAGATAATATAATTATACTAAATATATTCATAAATTAAACAACTCAATTGACGATGACATATCTTTTTTTTTTTTCTAAAAGTATACTTAACTTCTTCAATTATTTTTTTTAGATAAATCGATGTTTTTTTTTTCAACTGCAAAACGCCAACGACTGAAAAGCCGTTTAATTTTTAGTATTCGTTCAACCCAGATCGTAGCTATCATATTGCTAATAATTTTTATTTTTATTTTTTTGAAATTCCATCTTCATTCCCGTTCGTTCAGCTTAATTGATTGAACTTTATGTGCAGAGAGAATCATGACCTTTATTTGGAAAGAGAATCAACATGCCATTATTTGGAGAGAGAGTAAAGTTATATGGAGAGAGAAAGAAATCTCGTCTATGTGAAAATAAAGTGTCCATCAAATTCTTAATTGATAAAAAAATGTACAATTCGTAAATATGTAAATGAGTCTTATAGTGAGTATAGGTGTGTAAAATTCCCAAAAAAAATTAATAGGACCCCAAATATATGAGTAGGCCCTAGGCATGGGCCTAGGTTGCCTCCGCAAAGATCCGGCCCTAGTTTTTTACGAATACAAATCATGAATACCGAATTCAAATCATGAATGGAATCTGAATTTTTTGATTTATTTACAACCATAGTCTAGTGTAAGCCATGTTTCTGGATGATTAAAAAAAGATACAAGCCATAATTGCTTTTTAACTTAATCGCGGCGCCTTCCCCAGCGGGGCTCTCGAGGCTCCGGCGAAGGCGTCCTTGTGCCTCGCGGCCCGAGTCCCTTTGGATCGTTGAGAAGTGGAGCGGTTTCAGCAGTTGGAGGCGGTGCTCGTCCCCGAACTAGGTCTCGCCACGATTCAGGTTGCTACGACGGTGAGGCGGGTGGCCGTGTGTCTGCTGGCTTGGTTGAGAAGATCCTCTGGAGTTTACCTTGGGATTGGGTCACGGCTCCGGTTCTATCTTGGAGGGGACTGTGGTTGAGAAGTCAGCCCCTTTCTTTCACTCATCCCGCCGGTTTTGGTGCTATTCGAAGGGGATGCCCGGCGTGGTCGGGCTGCGGTCCGGGCTTTGGTGTTCTGAGCCTGAGTCGATGGCTTCTGCCGGGGCGGGATGTGGGTGGTTCTCCGGGTGCGGGTGTGGGGCGGCTATCCAGATTCGGGTGGGTTTTCGGTGTGGGATCCAGTTAGGCAAGTGTGGCAGTTTCTGGATCTGCTCCTAAGGTCGTGGCTCGGTCCGCTTGGATGGTCGTCCTCTGGCGTTGCCGCAGTTGGCTTGGTGTGGTTCATCTGCTAGGAAGGGTGTTTAGCTTTCTTTAGTGTGTTTAGTAGTTTTATAGCGTGTATGGTTGTTTATTTTTTCTAGTTGTTTTGTGTTTTGCTGGTGTCTTGTAGTGTTTTTTTAGTTGTGTTTAGCTTTCTTTAGTGTGTTTAGTAGTTTTATAGTGTGTATGGTTGTTTATTTTTTCTAGTTGTTTTGTGTTCTGCTGGTGTCTTGTTAGTGTTTTTTTAGTTTGAGTTTGTTGTAGTTGGTGTCTGGTGTTGTGGTGTTTTGTGTTTCTCCCATAAGGGAGAATTTGTTCTCCAGTTGTGGAGTTTTGTGTTTCCGGTTGTTGTTTATTTCAGCTGTTGTTTTGTGTGTTTTGTGTTTCTGGTTGTTGTTTATTTCAGCTGTTGTTTTGTGTGTTGTTGTAGTTTAGGTCTAGGTGATTTTAAAGTCTCTGTCCTCCCACTAGGTTCGGCTCTATATTTGTTTCAGCTGTTGGGCTAGATGCAATTATTGTTTCTTATATAAAAGCTCTATCGTTTGGGAAAAAAAAAAAGAAAAAATTGAATGGAGAATCCAGAACACAATTTTGAGTGTTGTAATCAAGCACTAAAAATTTTGCTCAAATGCTTAACCTGCAAAATGCTTAGACTGAATCTCAGAGCAGCATTTGTAATGAAACCTAATACCTATATAAGTATAGAGCTTCCTCACCACACTGCCTAAATAAAGCTATGGGTGCAGAAAAAAAAAAAAGAAAAAGTAGTGACAGTAAAAACCAAAACAAACTTTGATATCAAGCGTAGTAATGTGTGGACTTAGAAAATTGATCTTAGTTTAGATTTGCATCCTCCACATGAATGGTGGGCAGCCTCTTCACAAACAGCTCAAACTCATCATCTCTGCTCAGCATGCTCACTCTCACATATTCTGCTTCACATCCGAACCTCACTCCACTCCTAGTGAGAATCTTGTGCCCTTTAAACACCTTCTCACAATCCACCCCATCTTTGCATTTTATCCATGCAAAAGCTGTTAAAAAATCGACAAATAAATGTCACTGCAAACACATTTCTGATATGATCTAAAAAGGCGTTAAAAACAATAGCAATACAGCTTAAAGAGTTAAATTCAGAAACCACCATTGAGTGTGGGTATTCAGAAAAGACCCACATAAGTTTCGAAAACAATAGCAATACTGCTTAAAGAATAGCCTTTCGAGATGCAAAAGTTTATTGAAATTGAGAAAAGTAAGAAAGTTGAACAGAAAAAATGAAACCTTATATTCTATATCAATCAAACAAGTTGATGGGAAATGTAGTAATGAATATTGAGGAGTATCTTGTTTTACAAGGAGAAACACAAACCGATATCCAGCGTCACTTTTTTGAAATGTGATTTCGAGACTTGAGACCTCAAGGGTAACTTTTGTAATTATTCCTGCTCAAATTGCAATAGCCTACCAGGATAAGTTTCGACGAATTCTCCGCTGAAATTGCAGTACTGTTTCGGGAATTTAGCGACATGAAAAAGACTGTTGTTGTTGATAGCTTCCCTTAGTTTGGTCCACCTTTGAGCCATGAGGTGACGACTATGTTTGAAGAAATTGGGAATACGAGTGTTTGGTTGCGTGCAGCTTAGAGAAATCATTTCCAGGATATTTGCAGCCCTGAGTTGCGCCTCTTTCGACACGCCAATTGTGTTGATCTCAATAAATTTCACCATCTTCCTTGCAACATTCTCATCTCTCACGACAGCCCATCTTCATATCCAATTTACAAACAAAACAAACCATTTTCAAGCCTAAATACTTTGTTTCAAAAGCTCAAATAATAATAATAATAATTAAAAATCACCAAATACCCGATACGCGATCCAGCATGTCCCGTGCACTTAGAAACAGTAAAAAGCATGACATCATGATCTGCAGAGGATGTAATGGCTGTATATTGAGGCCAATAGTAAGCAAGATCATGGACAAGCATTCCTTTAGGCCCATTAACAATGGGCTGCCTGATAGTGCCGTCCGGATTGTTTGGGGAAGTCACCATCTCTATGTACGGCTCATTCTTATCCTTGTCGAACAAATCGGCATCTCCCCACCACTCGAACAGTTTCGACTTTAGAAAATCGCTCATCTCAGGATACGACTGACAACACCAATTCGAAACTTATTTTATTTCTCAATAAACCATAAATCTAATAAATCAACATTGAACCAGGCAAAGAAGTATACATATGTTGTTAAACAAATGTTCATGTTACTATGTTTTGTCCTGTCAGGTGATCCAAAACATTCAAACAAAGATCACAGCTGAAGACAAGGTTTGGTCCCTTGGCAGAGTTGACTTTTTTATTATAATATTAAATGATCCAATTCTTTAAGATAAAAATAAAAATTTCAAACTCCTTCATTCTAATTAACTAGGCTAACCGAGTAGTATGGGGCCCGGCAGATGACGCTGACTGGATTTGGCTCGTTTACGGAAGTGGAAAGGGCGAACAAAGCAGCCAGAATGAGTTGACTCGAGCCTGTCCCAACTATTATGTGTCGGTTTTCGGTTATGGCATTGCCCACCTTTTCGTGCACCTTTTTAATTTGGTCCTCCAGTTTTGGCTCCAAAAACCAGCACAGCTTCTTCGGGTTCGAAAAGTAACTCAGAGATTCGAATCCAGGGATTTCAAGGCTCAAATTTTGGCCAATCTCTTTCCAGTAAGACTCGTACATTGTAGGATCACCACTATTGTCACAAGAATGAGAAGAAAAAAATTAATATTTTTGGATAATTTAGAGAAAGCATAAATTGCAGTCATAATTAATTCTCCATTAATTTAGAAAGACACGAATATAAGGGAAACAGAAAAAAGAAACACAAACACACAGTAAGTAAACAAGGACTAAATATTACTGATGGTAGAGAAAACATACTGATCAAGATTGATTAGGGGAACATGGTGATGGCCATTGCTGTCTCTGTCTTCAGGAACAGAGACAGAGGAAGCTTTTGAGGTTACGACCTGTAACTTGCCGCACATTTTATCTGACCTTCTGTAAATAAACCTTAATTCTGAAGCTAAGCCTTGATTTGCTCTCTTTAGGGTACACACACAGAATCCAAGTGACAGGATTTACATGACTCGGTCCTTCAGTATTTATAGGGACACCTTTTCACATTTTTTAAAGTCTTAACAAATCTAAATTGAATACACCAGGATTTCTAAAGTCTTTAAAAGTCCTTAGAAATCCTAATTGAATACACCCCTCTAAGTATCTGGATTTTATTTTTGTCCTTCCAAAATTTTAAATATGCCATATAAGGTAAAAATTGATACTTTAGGCATGTTTGTTTACAAATTACTAGTATGTAACCCGTGCGATGCATGGGATGTAAAATTTGGAAGAATAATATAACCTCACGTGCATTAAGATCGAAATTGAAATCATTAAAATACATAGGAACATTGTTGAATCATAAAAAGTTCGGTAACAATCATATATTATTAAAAACCTCATTGCACAACATTATGAGTTTGATTATTGGGTAACTCCTCATTATCACAAACTAATTTTTTCAAAAGAGACAAATCCTAAAAATCAAACTAATATTTTAGGATTGCTGAACAAACTAATATTTTAGTATTTCTAGGATTTGTCTCTTTTTGGTGAACAAACTAATATTTTAGGATTGGTTATATGGATAAGGCTACCTGTTTTTTGTGTTCTTTTCATTCATTTTCATTCAAACAATCCGATGACTTGTATAATGAAATCCGAATCTTAAGCCGAAATATTTAAAAAAAGAGTTTTTAAAAATTGAAAAGTCAAGACAATCAGTTCAGATTAATTAAAAGTCAAAGAATATCCGCTCCTTGAAATAAAGACGTGTGCTATCATTAACCAAATATCCGGTTATTGATAGAGAGTGGTTACCAAAAAATAGAACGCGATAAGGACGCTTCATGGAAATATCAATGGGATAAGGTCATAACAGATCGATATACATTTTAACGATAAAAGCTCAGATGGAATGATTTATGATAATTATGTCGTAATTAATGAATTAATTAGATGTGTGAAAAGGACATAATTAATGAGAAGTGTGAAAAGGATATAATTAATGAGAAGTGTGAAAAAGACATAATTAATGAGAAGTGTGAAAAAGACATAATTAATGAGAAGTGTGAAAAGGACAAAAACTTACCACGTTTGGAAAATATTTACTGCAAATCCGATATTGACTATAATTTGACCTACTATTTTGGTTAAATGTTAATTCTTATTATATAAGTATAGATTTCATTTTCAATCCAATTCATACTCAAAATCTAACTCAACTTTAACCCAACTTCATTATCTTTATTATGATTTATTTAATTAAATAATACAAACCAATCATTCTTACACATCACATCAACTTTAATTCACTGTTCATCCACTCACATAATTTTAACTACCTATCATTTCTAATCATTTTCAATCATTTATCTCCTACTTTTACATCAAATCAATTTTAATCATTTTATTTTAAATATTATTTTAATACATTATTAAAATTCCACTAACAATTAACCATACTACCTTTTTTAAAATTAAATCTAGTTAACTAAAATAACTCACTTTGAATGAAATATTTCATAAACAAGCACGCCCTTACTTTACAAAAGTATACAAACTTAAACAGTTTTCCTAGTGAATATAAAAAATCTAAGATTGACATATAATTTTTTTAATTCAATCAATAATAAATATTGAATCGAACTTTAAAATTGGTTTTAAATTTTTTTAAAGTCATGATGGAACGAACAAAATGAGATATAATTTATCGATTTCTGATAATTGATTCATCTATAAATTAAATCAAGGATTTTTTTTTCAATACAAGACACGAAAGATGGGTAAACTATCAAATCTGGATCTAAAAGATTTTTTTCTCATTTCGGGACCTAAATGTTATAAAACTATCAATATAAGTGCTAGAATTAACAGAACCCTTAACACCATTAAATTGAGAGTTTAAAAGAAAAAAAAAAAAGATATTGGTGTTTTTTTTTCCTGTAAAAGTATCAATTTTTCTTTTTTCATCACTCTAATNTGGTGTTTTAAACTTCAAATTAACTCTCAATTTAACGGTGTTATGAGTTCTGTTAATTCTAATGCTATGTTTGGTAAAACTAGCTGATAGCTCATAAGCTAGCTTATAGCTTATATGTAATTTTTGAGCTTATAGCTTATAGCTTATGACTCATAGCTGAAAAGCTGGCTTATATGATAAAAATGTTTAGTAAAATTAGTTGATAAGCTAGCTGAAATAAAAATTTCAACTAGCTTATTTGAAAAGCTACCTAAAGTAGCTTATGAAATAAGCTCGAGCGTTTTAAAAGAGTCCGTCCTACCAAACAATGATATTTGAATACAGGAAGCTTATAAGCTAACCAAATAAGCTATAAGCTAGCTTATTTGGCTTACCAAACATAGCCTAAGACTCATATTGATAGTTTTACAATATTTAGAATTGAGAATAAAAAAATATTTCAGGCCCCGATTTGGTAGTTTACCTATCTTTCAAGTTTTGTATTGAAAAAACTCCATTAATCAAAGAATAAGGTAGGTTGCCTGTGATAATAATTTTTTTTTCTATTTTATAATAATAGGATATTTGATACTCGATAGTGATCTATCTTTATAAGACTTGAAAATGAGTTTTCTATCGAGATACGTCCAATGAAAATTAAATGGTTGAATTACGGTTAGTATCTCAGAAAAAATCTAGATATTTGTCAACTTGTTTGAATAATGATCAGAATCCGGCACCTAGATTTTTATAAATCTACCTTGTTAGAAAATTCATTCGGTATGTTTTTCAATGGCATATTCCAATTAAAAATCAAATCTTGATCACTAAAAAATAAAAAGTAATGTTCTTCTTGTGTGCCGCCTGCTATTTTTTCTGTCGATCGATTATCGATGAACCAATTAACAAAACTCAATAAATCATACCTCGTTTGTTCGTCTCATAGTGAACTTCAAAACTGCTTACTAAATCCAAAATTCTTTATTAATTGAGTTAGAAGCTTTTTGTTCCATTTTAGAGTTTTTATATTCAGGAGGGGAAGTGTTAATTTAATTTAATTCTGGAGAAAACTTACAAAATTTAAAATTTTATATGACAAATTTTAAAAACTCATATAGTTTGGCAGGTCAATTTTCTTTTCCTTTAAAAGATTTTGAGTAAGATTTGATATATTTTTCCACAATAACTTTGAAGACGTGTGAAAGTCAAACATAAGGCAATCATAAGTACTAATTAATATTTTTACTGTACAGATTATTCTCTCTATAAAATCATTTTGTATATAGACAAAGGATAGCGTACACTATGAATTTCCCTTTTTCAAAAGTCAAAACTCGGCACGCATGAGTTAATATGGTTCGAAAATTAAAAAAGTTTTTCAACCGTATTGAAATTTGGAGATAATTAAAATTTAATCTCCAGAACTGCACAAAAAAAATAGTTCGGCCGATTCGGAGATTTTTATTTTTCGATACGATTTGGTTCGGTAGTTGGGACTATTGGGATGGTTCAGTTCGGTTCGGAGCTCTAGAAATTTCTAATTATTTTTTAAATTTTTAAATTTTTTCAAACAACTATCTAGTTATATTTAAATTTCCAAAAAAAAAAAAAAAATATCGTCATTCATCAATATTTGACCATATTAAGATTTTATTCGAAATCAACTTTAGAAAATATAGAAGTAACCCAAAATATTAGTTAAGAGTTAATTTGTGCAACTAATGATAGAAAATTGAAATTCAGATAAAATTATATTTTATTTGAAGTATTTTTTTAACTTTTCGTAATTTTAATTATAAGATGAAATAAGACTAAGAAAAGTAGCAACAAACACAAGATAAATATATTTTCAGTTATTTATAAATCAAGTATTATTAAATATTAAATTTAAGTGAAGTTTAATTATCATTATTATATATTATTAATCATTTAAAAAATACTAAAACTATATAGGATTAAAATTGACATAGAATATATGAACAAGACACATTTCATTCAATAATTCAGTTTTTCGGTTCGACATAGTATGAGATGGTTCGATTTGTTTGCAAATTATTTTTTCGGTTCGGTTTGAATCGGAGGAAAGTAAAACGATCAATCGTTTTTTTTTTTTTCTGCTCGAAGTGAATTCAATTTAATTTTCGACATGGTTCAAAATTCTCCAAGTTTCATGCTCACCCTATACAACAAACAGCAGTAACACATGTTCATCCCTATATGTCAAATATTATAGTTATCTTGCCGCGAAAGAGAAGTTAACTTGAAAAGGGTCAAACAATAACTGTTCAACTTTGAGTGTCGGCACTTATAAAATTGAAAATTTGCACCGCATGCTGGTCTTTGCGTGATCACATTGATGTTTCTGGAGTTGTGTACATTAATTATGTCTAATATATTTTACCAATATGACCACATTTTGTACATACTTAATCACACCTCCAAATAACAAATTAAGGTTTGAAGATGAAAAAAAGAAAAGGGAAGCCAAGATTTGAAATTAGGATATCTTACAATCCCCTTTCTTGGAAATACGTTGTTTTTTTCGTTGACTTTGAAAGATTTTAATTTTTTTTTTCGAGTTGTTACTATATTTTCATATTATAGTTCCATTTATATTTTCATGAAATTCGAGTTGTTACTATAATTCATACTAGTGTGTGACAGGTGCGATGCACAAGCTGTATTTATTAAAAAAATATTAAATTTTAAGATGTATAAATAAATAAAAGTGTTATATTAGGTAGGCAAATTGTACAATCAGAAAATGTTCGACAAAAAAAAAAATCATATATTATTAAAGACTTCTTGTACACAACATTATTTGTTTGATTACAGGGCAACTTTTCGTTCGGACATACTAATATTTTCTACCATATTCTATTAGTAACACGCGAAACAACAACATATAACTGACCATGACTAAAGACAGGTTTCTTCAGAAATAGCCTGAGATAAAGACTGACCCTGACACTTGTTTATGGTCATGTCATACGAAACTATAATTGGGAACTGCTGCCGCTGGAACTTAAATGGAACCCTAAGATCGGAAGGAGTAATTTTC